TGCTTCCCTTGCCTTCTCCCCACGCCTCGCTCGGCCCTCCTGCTGATCTCCCTGATGCTCCTCTCTCTCTCGCCCGCAGTATTCCTTCCCTTGCCTCTCTAGCCCGTTCTAGGTCGTGCATCAGCCTGCTGCCTTCCTCTCTGCTGTTGCGTTGATCCCGTCCTCCCTCACTAGTACGTCTTCCCTCATGCTGCCAGTACCGATCAGGTGAGTGATACCCTCCGCCGCGCCCCTCATCCCTTCTCTGTTGCCAAAGCTGCGAGCCGTATCCGCCTCCCCGGCTTTCTTCATGTTGCCTGTGCCAGTCGGGCGAGCGCGTCTCGCTTCCCCACCTCTCTCCATGATACCGTTGCAGATCAGGCGAGCAGTAGTCGCCTCCACGTCTCTCATCACGAGGGTAACGAGGACCTGGAGAGCGCAGCTCCCCCCCGCTTCTCCAGCTGTGATACCTCCGCGGATCTGGTGAGTGCACACTTCCCCGCGTCCACTGTCCTGGTGCCGCCATAGCTCTGGCGAGCGGTAACCGCCTCTGTGCCTTTCTTCCTGCAGCTGCTGCCGTCCTGGCGAGCGGTAGCCGCTTCCGTGCCTCCCGTCCTCGTGCGGGAGACGTGGATCTGGAGAGCGCGCGCCGCCACCGCGTTCCCCGTCACGATTCTGCCGCTGATCTGGCGAGCGCGTACCGCCGCCACGCCCCCCTTCCCGATACATCCGTGGATCTGGCAAGCGCGTGCCTCCGTCGCGTCCCCCATCACGATTCAGCCGGGGCTCTGGCGAGCGCGCACCGCCGCCGCATCCTCCGTCCCGATTCAAGCGCGGGATCAGGCGAACGCGCGCCGCCGCCACGTCCCTTGTCACGCTGCTGACGCGGATCTGGAGAGCACGCGCCACTGCCACGCCCCCCGCCGTCACCTTTCTCTCTGTCGCGCAGCATGTTTCGCGCTAGCAGAGCATCTGGTTGCAGAACATGCACTGGTTGTAGAACGTCACCACGTTTGAAATGGTCTTATCACCGACGGTACAAGCACATTCACAAGAAAGCGGTTAGCTAGGATGCTGCATGGTAAAGAACATTAACCAAGCGTTTCAAAGCGGTTGAAAAGGGTATACAGCGATAAAGAAAATTTTTGCCCCCAGTACCACTCCGTCAGCTGGTGCGGCTTTGCCCGCAGGTTTCAGCCATACGGTTTATGGCACCTGACCGCACTGTAGCAGCGAATCGCGCAAGGTGAGAGGTTCGAGAAACAGGGTGTACTAGAACTATCGTGAATGACTCGTTCCCATTTGATTCACTCTTCCCAAAGGAGCTTCACGCTAAGACCCTGCAATTCCAGTGACGTGGAACATGGATTTGCTTTCAGTCCTAGAATGCTGCATTGCTTGTTTCAGTGGGAAAACCTGCAATCGTAGATTCAGCAGGTTAATAGCTAAGTGTGCATCGATCAAAACCAGAAGCTGTAAACTGAAGGGCAGGAGCTGGAGAGATGTGGAGATGTCCCACCAGAATTTACTGCCATGGTTGAGGAACGTTGCAGCATGTTACTTGTCGTAATTGTTGTCCTCATCTCGACCCTTCTGTTCAGTTGCCGGACAATGACCCTTGCTGAATGCCTGTCTTACGCGGAAGTTTTATAACTGTTTTGGTGTCGGCGAGTTTTCCAAGGCGATCTTTACAGGCTGGTTTTGGCAGTTTCTGCCTCTGGAAAAATGCTTCTGTGGAACTGTTTTAGGAAGAAGTTCAGGGCTGAAGTTTTTGTTATCGTTTTTTCCTACTTTCACCCAGCGGCTGGAGTTCAGAAATCATCTAACAGCATAACACTAGCATTTTTTCATGAACGTCACAACTTCTTTGCCCGCGGGCCACAACACGAGCCGTTGCGTGCTGGTGAACAACATTTGCTGACAATTTCATCGCTCAGATCGTGTTGATCCCCCAAATCTCTGCGTTGCTCATCATTCCGCGCGCGCTCTCCTTTCCACAATTTCGTTCTCTTGCGCCTGAAATTCCATTCCCCTGCCCGAACCCCCACTTCCCCTTTCCCTGCCCGATTTCTCCGCCGCATTGCACAACCTGTTCGGGGAACGGGGAAAAAGTTTTTACAACCACTAGGGGTGCTGCTTTCCCACCCCTCGCCTCAATCTTGCGACACATACATTCAATGCCACTGCCCCATCGGTGTCGCGCTCACTGCCCATTTCCTACCCACCTCAGGACTGGCCTTTTCCTCCCAAAAAAATCCTCTGGTGGCTGGCAGTCTAGGAAGGATCTCACACAATTGCTGTCAGTGCGGCCCAGCCATCCCCCGCCCGCCCAAACACTCAAGTCTCCATCAGGCCTGTCGATTGACGGGCATATGCCCTTAATGCCCTGAAATTCCGGGTTACGTTCGCTCCAGCTCGACTGCATAAAGTGCTAGGATCGCATTGCACCCGTGCCACTAAGTGCCTCGTCAGACCCTTCCCCGGACGCGTTAAGTTCTCCAATCAGGCCTTCCCCACCCACTAAGTTTTGGTTTCCGGTTGTAGGCCTCCCCCCCGAATTCTGCCTTCCCACCCCCACCCCCCCCCCCCACCCCCCGAGAGCGCGCCAACGGGATTTTTCCCTTGCGTTTTCGAGCCAATCCCGTCCGTATCTGTGAAGTGGCTGAGACACACATGGAGCACTCGAACTTTCCCTTTGCGTCCAAGCCAATACTAGCTGGCCGCATGCTACAGCTGGGAGGACACATAGGATTAGCGTGCCTGAATTTGGCCAAGTTGATTGGCCACATGTGTAGTGTCAAGTGTCTTTGACTTCTAATTTAAGTAGATAACTGCACTTGTCATAGTGTAAAGAAGTGTAAGGGCAAACTTCAGACATGCCCTGATTTCAAGTTCTGACTTTGGGGTGTGCCCGCGACCCTTAAGGGCGCCAAATCAATCACCTACCCCCAACCAAGGGTCAGATTGGGAGGAGCTGGGGAGCGCAAGTTCGAGCCCCAGGGACTTCGACAGGCCTGGTCTCCATCCACCACCTTCCCCCATCTCCGCCAAGGGAGGTTCCGCGGCAGCCCTCCGCTGCCAGCGACAGCGGAGTAATTCTTCCCACTGACCTGAATCCCTTTCCCGTGGACCTCCGCTCCAACCCCACGTCATTCCCCCGCTATCCACCCGGTACTTTCACCTTTTTTTACGTCGTGAAAGACGAGATGCGTTTCTGCTTTGCGTCCTCTACAAATCACCCGCGCCAACGCCATTTCCGACTACTCCAAGTTTGGTTTCGCTTCTTGTTCCCTTTCCAACGCCCATCACTAGCACGTCTTCCATTCCCCCGTTCTCGTCCATCACTTTCCGTTCGGACAAGCTGATCATCGCACCCTCCACTTCACGCTCGTTGCTGCGCAGCTGTTTTCGTCGTCCTCTTCCCGCTGCATTTTGTAGCACGCTTCTGCGAAGAAGTAACGCCTTCCTTTTTTGAGCGGCGAAGCATTCCGGTCCTAATTAGAGGACAAATCTAGTCCTCACGCGCATTTGATATAGAAAAACTGCTACTTGAAGGATCATCACCCGTTTTTTCGCGGCGCACTTCGCCGTGCCTATTTACCTTCGTGAAGGACATTGACAACCTGACAAACACGCATCTTCGACCACAACCTATCTTTTTCCGCAAACAAGTTTTTGGAAAAGAACGACCGTTGCCGTCCTAGTCTCGAAGTCGGAGTCATTGTAGTGGATATTCATCAGCTTCATTCAGCAGTTCTTTCCTCTTTCTCCTGCTACTCTTCTCCGTTGCGGAACGTGGTTTTCTGCTTCACGTCGTGTCTCGGCTACACTTCAAAGTTCACTCAGCTGCGTCGTCGAGACGTTGCGCGCATCATTTGTGTTCGTCAAACGAACTATTTCGGAGGATTACCTCCTGTGAAGAATATCTTCCGTCATGGCGTACCAAGATGAGCAGACCCCGCCGAAGCTCACGCTTCAGTATCAATGGTCGTCGTCGCTTCACGCGCATCATGTGAGTTTCTATCACGCGATTCCTGTTCTCTAACTTTGCTCGCGCAAGCATTCTTATTTTTTTCAGCCTTCTGGATTTCGCTCCTTCGACGGAGAATAACTAGTGTAACTTCGGGAATCAACGGCGAAAGTCCTGACTCTGCCTTTCTCGTGCAATTTTTGCGAACGCTTTTTTTGCAGATGAAAGTTTCTCAGATGTCGCAGCCTACAGACATCCCGCCATTCAAGTCGTCGACGTCGTCTGCGCTAGGGTCTAAAACCACTAACGACGGTTCAGACATTCCGACGTCGCAAGCTGACAACGCATTGGATGCGGGAATGATATTTCTTGGCGGTCATCGCACGCGCCCGAACTGGTCGCCTCAGGTAATTGAGTTCGATAGCTCTCGCGAAACGGTCGAACACGGGAATGATATTTCTTTGTGTATGTGCTTGGTGACGAGTAGCTTCGTTCACTGAAATACCCTGACGGTAAATGGCTGATACACAAGCTTCCTAGGGTTCGACGGAAGACAATGTCTGTGTGGATTGACAAAGGCTGCTTGAGTTAGACTCTTAGACCTGTTATTTTTTTTCGCCCAGGAAATCCGTTCGTGCTTGTAACGAGTCTTATCCGACAACTCTTTCCTCCTATACGTCCTCGAGATTTCCGGGATGACAAATTTCCCAACCCTCGATAGTGTTTGTTTGCCCTCGAGATTTGTTTTCGTGCTAGTTTCGATTCTTCCCTCAATTTTCCAATCTCTACTCAATTTCTCGGTGAAACAGGAGGACTTAACTCTGCTGCAACATGTTGCTCGCCATGGCACGCGGAACTGGGGCTCACTCCAAGCTAGTGGTTTACTGCCGCTTCGCGACCAGAAGGCCTGCTGCAACCGCTTCATTCTCCTCAAAAAGTACGGCATCGGTTTCTATACTTGTCCAGTCTCATGCATCAGGCGCGTTTCGCCCGAGGGGAACCCTAGACGTGCCAGGCTTGTTTCATCCGACGTCCGTTGTCACTGTGTCTAATGTTGCGTCGATGTTGCCCGCGGTTCGTTTGCAGGCGGTGCATCAAGGACAAGCGGAGCCTCTCGCATCTGCTTCACCGCGCCAAGAAGTCCATCGTCACACCCGAGGCTAGCACCCAGCAAAATCAAATGGCGTTGTCGAGCTTTGTGGCGACTCCTTCCTTCTCGAGCCAACTGCATCTTCCGGTACGCCGCATATTAGAGTTGCGTTGCACACGTATTTATATTTTCTCCGCCGAATCTATTATAAACTGTCTATGTCGGTATTTTATTTCGTCCTTGCCGTCGTAAGCTCACAGCTTTCCGTGTGTGTTTCGTCAGGCATTGAGCGGCGGCGGCATTGGCCTCAACAGCAACTCACGGCCCTCCTTCAAAAGCGGAAGTCCCACCAGCGCTTCCGCGATCGTCGCCGCCACCGCGGCCTTCAATGCTCCTTCCGCCACCGCGTCTCCGACCGCTGTGCGAAGTCCCGTTTCCTTTGTCCAGCAGCAGCAACAATATCAGCAACAGCAGCAGCAGAAGATTCAGCAGGCACTAGCGAGTTCCCCGTACTTGCAGCAGCCTGGTGTTAACACTTCCAACGCAGCTTTGGGAGGTGGAAACTTTTCAGGGGTTCCGCTTCTCCAGATGCCTGCGCTCAATTCGTCGACGTCTCTCAGCATGTCCGTGCAGCTCGCCAATCTCAAGTGAGTGTCGCTTGCCGAACACATCGTGACTTGGCAGCTTCTTGTTCCTTCGCGCGTTTCCCACATCTTTCCTGATACCTGACCTGAACTCGCATCTCTCTGTTCCTAACAATTCGTTTCTAACGATTTGCTTCATTTCTGATCCTCCTCTGCTCTCTCCACCAGGTCCCGATTGGCTCTCCAGCCTGGCTCGCTCCTCGCGCAAGCCCTTCGCCTGACGCAGCAGCCAGACTTCGCGTCAGTCGCCGATCTTCCCCTCCTCGCCAACGTGCGGAAACTCGCCAAGTCGTCATCCCTCACTACAGCAGCATCCGCTCCAGCTGCGGTCGGCTCTCCTCCTCACTCCTCTGCTCCCTCCGGCTGCTCCTCTCCGTCAGCTGTCGCCGCAGCCTTTTCTGGTGCGAGTGAGCCGTTCTGTGCGCGGCGGTCTTCTCTTTCCTCGTCTGGCCGTTGCCTATCTCCCAATGCATCGCTTGTCGCTGCTGATGGAAGCCAAGGCAATGGCCGCCTTGCTCCAGTTGAGCGCATGCCTTCGTTTGATGTCAGTTCAGTCTGCACAGGCCTGCCTTCTGCAACTGCTGCCGCTGGTACCACTACAGGCGCTGCTGCTGGCAGTGCTTCTGCTGATGCTGAAGCTGTTGTGTCTGTTCTTCCTGACGGTTCTGCTGTGAGTGGCCACACTTTCACCGGCGGTGGTGGTGGAGTTGAGGGAGGTGGCGGTGGAGGCGCAGGCATTTGCGCTGACAATGCGTTTGCTTCTGTTCCCAGCTCCTCCTTCACTGCTCTGCTTACCTCCTCGGCCTCCGTCAATCATTGTCTGACTTCTATGGCAGCACCAGCGCCTGTGATTTCCCACACGTGGAGGCCACAGGGCAACGCTAAGTGCCTTCAGAAATCGCTGCCTGTTCAGTCAGCGAATGGGGGGGGACGGGAAATGATGATCCATCAGCAGCAGGTGTACCACTCCCAGCAGCAGGCTTTGAACATGAAGCTGCAACAGCAGCAGCAACAGGAGCAGATTTCCCAGGGTAATCTATCTGAGGTGACACGACAGCTGGATCAGCAAGAGGAAGGAAAGCAGCAAGTCATGTCCCAGCGACCTGATGTGATGTTGGTGGAGGCGTTTTCATCTGCTCGCCACACCACCAACGAGAGTCTTTATTGCAGTCAGAATGAGACGCGGCATATGCTTGATGCTGGTTCAGGCAATCCATGGGGAGCACTGAACACAACCGAGGATGCAAGGTTGGCGAATATTATTTCCAGTGGATCACTTGAGGCTGTGGTTGCGGGCAATGGACGTACTTCCGAGTTTCCATTGACTGCCTTCGATGATCAGAAGAATGTGGGAGGTGCTGATTTCCAAAGCGAGGAGGCAATGTTCTCGTCTCTCTCCCACAACGGCATGTTTGCTGAGATGCCAGCAAGCTTTTCAGAGTCTGACATGCTCCAGGCCATACATGCTGAGATGGAGGTGAGATATTGTGACCATTTCTCTTGAGATTGTTCTTGTACCCTACGTATCAACAGCTTCTCTTGTACTGGTACGTGGCTGACTGTTGTCCCACTTTTATCCCTCCTGTTTGCAGATGCTCAGCTCAATCGTCAATGCATCATGAAGGATCTTGTAGATTCCTGTACTACGTCTATGAATTTGTATTCACTGGGTTGTTTTTTCCCAAGAGCCTCGTGTCTTGTTTGGCCATGAATTTGCAATTCATGTGCCTTTTTCCCACCTACACGGTGGCTGCAAGTGCGTAGGCCCTTGAGTTTGTGTTTGTTCCCTTTTTATTGCATGGCGTTCCTTGTGAAAAGGAGCTCCACTAGGAATCTGCTGTCACTCATGTTTCTAGCTGATGGAAGGGAGAACATGTGGGATGAAATTTTGTCAACAAAACCACTAAATTTGATGACATTAGTGCTTCGCGGGTTTGCCTATCACCGCCCTCGCGAAAGCAATCACTCTTGCGCCACATTTTCGCCATTTATCGCCACTACTCGATCCCACTCTGCTCCTGGGAGCTTTTGCGCGGCTGGATCCTGCCAGGCACCACGTGACTGTCCTTAGAATCTGTTTTCAAATCACCACCACTGTAGAAGGTATGCCTATCAGCGAATCCAGACATTCCGAACCAGCACTATTGGTCCGTCGCCTCGCCCACAGTCTAGATTTTAGTCTTCGCAAGCCTACGTCTCTAGACTGGGTAGAGCCTGGCCAGGGCTACTTTGTCCGCGTCTGCCGACTCGTCGAGCTAGCCAAGGAACGAGCTCTTCCTGGTAGAAGCCCGCAGCTGTTCGTCAGTCGCAGATGGTTTAGTTGAGTCAACGGTCGTGTCGGGTGGAAGATCTGCGGTTGTCAGTTGGGTGGGGAGGGCCGACCAGCCGTTGCCGGATTGTCGACAATCAGTTTCGCTGGGATGTGGGCTTCGATTAGTACTGAAGTCACGGTGTAACGCATTTTATTGTGTAGCTATCGGAAGCGTCAACCCTGGCACTCCCCGTCCGTGCGTCTGGTGGTCTCTGGCCAGCTCCTAGGACAGCGATCGAACGCGGGTGATTGTAACGCGGCGTGACTTTAGGGTGGGTGATTCTCTTGGGTTGTTGGCCAAAGAGCGAGTGATTATAGGTTCGGTGACTACGACGTCGGAGACTGTATCGGAGCGAGGCGATGGAGAGCCTCGCACATCTGGAGGGGTTGTGCGAGCGGCTGTACAATTCGCAGGATCCGGCGGAGCGATCGCACGCGGAGCAAACCCTATTGTGCTTTTCCACGAGCACGGAGTACATCACGCAATGCCAGTATATCCTCGATAACTCCTCCTCGCCCTACGCGCAAGTGCTCGCCAGCTCAAGCCTCGTGAAGCAGGTCACGGACCACACGCTGCCGGTGCAACTACGACTCGATATACGTAAGATTCGGTATTCGTTATAAGGGTTGCGCAGGAACAGTACATTCTGGGCAACTTCTCCTCGGCCTATACGCAAATTCTCGCCAGCTCACTTAGGTCTCGGACGACACGCTGCTGGTGCCGCTACGACTTGATATACGTACGGCTTGATGCTTGTTGTCCGTCGTTGCGCATCCTACGCGATTCCATATTGGAATCTCGAATGTTTTTCGTAAACGGCTTCACGGCGAGGGTTACTGAACGAAAGCCTCGAGCCTCTCATGTTTTTCAATATGAGTCATCGGCCTTGGGATTGCCGTTTCATGACAATCTAATCTCGGATTCTCCTGGCTTTGCACATTGGCTTGGAAATAGTCCTGGAATTGCGGACTTGTTGCGCATTCAAGAGTGTACAAAAGTTTGACATACACTGCATGCATTGTAGTGCACATCTGAGCCTTGGATCGTCGCCTCATAATGCCTCATCCAGAGCAGCATGTCGTCCAGATGCGTGCATTCCCGCATTGCTGCTGCTCGCTGTTTCAGGAGATTCTGTATCCGTTTTTCCCTCGTCTCCTTGCGTTCCCTCCAGGCAACTACGTGGTGTCTTTCCTGGCCACCAAGGGTCCCAAGGCGGAGTTCTTCGTATCGGCGTCACCGGTGCAATTGCTGTGCCGGATCTCCTACTTCAGGCTATCAGATCGCGCTTTTCCTTCCTTGATTGTGGGTGTTGTCCCTCCCTCCAGGCAACTACGTGGTGTCCTTCCTGGCCGCCAAGGGTCCCAAGGCGGAGCCCTTTGTGACGGCGTTTCTACTGCAGCTGCAGCCCTTTCTCTACTGCAGCTGCAGCCCTTTCTCTACTGCAGCTGCAGCCCTTTCTCTACTGCAGCTGCAGCCCTTTCTCTACTGCAGCTGCAGGCCTTTCTCTACTGCAGCTGCTGTGTCGGGTCTCAAGAAGCTTTTCTCCTTCCTTCCTTATGGGTTTTGTTTTTGTGTGTGGGTCCGGTTTCTCCTTCCAGGCAACTATGTGGCGTCTTTCCTGGCCACTAAGGGTCCCAAGGCGGAGCCCTTGGTGACAGCGTTTCTACTGCAGCTGCAGCCCTTTCTCTACTGCAGCTGCGGCCCTTTCTCTACTGCAGCTGCAGCCCTTTCTCTACTGCAGCTGCAGCCCTTTCTCTACTGCAGCTGCAGCCCTTTCTCTACTGCAGCTGCTGTGTCGGGTCTCAAGAAGCTTTTCTCCTTCCTTCCTTGTGGGTTTTGTTTTTGTGTGTGGGTCCGGTTTCTCCTTCCAGGCAACTACGTGGCGTCTTTCCTGGCCACTAAGGGTCCCAAGGCGGAGTCCTTCGTAACGGCATCTCCGGTGCAATTGCTGTGCCAGATCTCCTACTTCAGGCTATCAGGTCGCGCTTTTCCTTCCTTGATTGTGGGTTTTGTCCCTCCCTCCAGGCAACTACGTGGTGTCTTTTCTGGCCACTAAGGGTCCCAAGGCGGAGTCCTTCGTAACAGCGTCTCTGGTGCAGCTGCTGTGCCGGATCTCAAAGCTTGGGTGGTACGACGACGAGCGGTTCAGAGACATCGTGGACGAATGCACCAAGTTCCTCGCACAGGTGCGTGCGTCATGTGCTTGCAGGTGCGTGTGGTTGTCTAGAGTTTACAGGTACATATGGTTGAACCAGTCGTCTTTGGTGCAGCTGCTTCAAGCTCGGGTGGTATGACGATGAGCGGTTCAGAGACATCGTGGACGAATGCACCAAGTTCCTCACGCAGGTGCATGTGATTGCAAGTGCGTGTGATTGCAGGTGAGTGTGATTGCAGGTGCGTGTGATTGCAGGTGAGTGTGATTGCAGGTGAGTGTGATTGCAGGTGCGTGTGATTGCAAGTGCGTGTGATTGCATTGCAGGTGCGTGTGACTGCAGGTGCTTGTGTGCTTGCAGGTGTGCTTGCAGGTGTGCTTGCAGGTGTGCGTGCAGGTGTGCGTGCAGGTGTGGGTGCAAGTGTGCTTGCAGGTGTGCGTGCAGGTGTGCGTGCATGTGCTTCTGCAGAAATTGCGGGTGTGTGTCTTGCATGGAATTGCATTGCGTTCAATGGCTGTGCATGTGCATGTGCACCCTCTGCTCACTGTTCTCCCTCCCTGCCATCCCGCAGTAACCACGCATTGCATGTCATTGCGGTGCCTTGCTCACTGCATTGTGCGTGTGTGTGTGTGTGTGTGCGTGTGTGTTTGTGTGTGTGTGTGTGTGTGTGTGTGTGTGTGTGTTTGTGTGTGTGTGTGTGTGTGCGTGTGTGTTTGTGTGTGTGTGTGTGCGTGCGTGTGTGTTTGTGTGTGTGTGTGTGCGTGCGTGTGTGTGTGTGTGTGTGTGTATGTGTGTGTGTGCTTGTGCTTGTCTGTGTGTTCGTTCCCTGGCATGGCATGGCATGGCACGGCATGACATTCAGGGCACAGCGGAGCATTTCTTCCTAGGGCTCAAGATTTTCAACCAGCTCGTGGCAGAGATGAACCAGGTGCGTGCATGTGCATGTGCATGTGCATGGGTGGACTGTTTTCTGTAACGCTCATGCCGCCTCAAAAGCCTGATATGCCAATCTGCCAAGTCTAGCTGGGGCTGGGAGTGCTGGGAGGGCTGATAGTGATAACCTATCTACATCTGCCAAGTCTAGCATGGAGGGATGGAAGTGGCATCCTGATATCACCTAAAAGCCCTGCGGACTCTAGGCAGCCTTCTCCTTGCCTTTTTTTTTTTTTTTTTTTTCTCTCTAAATCCCGACTGTGTCAAATTGCCCGTTCTTGCGCTGCTTTCTCCACTCATTCTTCCTACCTGCTTGCTTGCAGCCTAGTCCAGGCCGGTCCCTAACCTTCCACCGCAAGACAGCCTGCTCCTTTCGAGACCTGGCGCTCTTTGCCATCTTCCAGATCTCCCTCACCAGCCTCAGACAGCTGCAGTCTGACGGTGAGTTGCCGTTCGCTTCAACCCACCTTTCTTCACTTGAACCCAACCCGACAATCCCAAGGCCAGTGCTTGGCCCGCTTAGCCATGTTCGCTCCCGCGCACCTGATGCTTGGCCTCACCAGCCTGCGCTCCCTCGCTCTGCAGCACTGCTTGTCCCTTCAGCTTCACTCTCACCTCCCTCCCCTGCGTCCCCACTCCTTGCCCTCTCGTTCTTTCCTCCAGCTGATGGCAAGCTGCAGGCAGAAGCAGACTCCCTGGCTGTCCGCTGCCTATCCTTTGACTTCGTTCTCACATCCCTGCTTTCCCGTTTTTTTTCCATGAATTTCAACTCAACACCCTGCAGCGGATGACAAGCTGAGGGCGTAAGCAGTCTCCCTGGCGCTGCGCTGCCTCTCCCTCATCCTCACTATCACCTCCCTCGTCCGTTCTTCACTTCCATCATCCCTCTCACCTCCTCCCCTCCAGCCGATGAGAAGCTGAGGGCGGAAGCGGTATCCCTGGCGCTGCGCTGCCTCTCGTTCGACTTTTTCGGGACGTCATTGGACGAGAGCTCAGAGGAGCTGGGAACCATCCAGGTGCCGTCTCCGTCTCTCCTTCACGATCAACCCAACCAGCCCCCTTCCCCCTGCCCTCTTCTTCCCCTCCAGCTGACGACAAGCTGAGGGCGGAAGCAGTCTCTCTCGCCTGCGCTGCCTCTCCTTTGACTTCGTGGGGACGTCACTGGACGAGAGCTCAGAGGAGCTGGGAACCATCCAGGTGCCTTCTCCATCGCTCCCTCAACTCGTCCAACCCCCTCCCCCTACCCCCTCCCTCCCCTCCAGCTGACGACAAGCTGAGGGCGGAAGCGGTATCCCTGGCGCTGCGCTGCCTCTCGTTCGACTTTGTCGGGACGTCACTGGACGAGAGCTCGGAGGAGCTGGGAACCATCCAGGTGCCGTCGTCGTGGAGGGCAGTGCTGGAGGACACGGCCACCATGCAGCTCTTCTTCGACTACTATGCGGCCACCAAGCCCCCGCTCTCCAACCAGGTCAGCTCAAAGCCAACTCCACCCGCCTCTTCCCTATCTCTACTCACCAGGGCCCATGGGTGCCTGGTGCGTCTAGCTTGCCACTTTGCCTGTCCCCGTTTCTCCCCACTCCCCTCAGGCCTTTGAGTGCTTGGTGTGTCTAGTTTCTATGCACCCCCCAACCCTCCTCTGTCCCTATTCCCTCCCACTACCCCTCTCCCAGGCCTTGGAGTGCCTGGTGCGTCTGGCCTCGGTCCGCCACTACCTATTCACAGGCGAGGCAGAGCGCCTCAAGTTCCTCTCGCACCTCATGAGCGGCTCCACAGAGATCCTGCGCTCCAAGCAGGGCCTGTCGCAGCACGACAAGTTGACACTCACGGAGAGCACCCCAGCCCCCGTACCACCTGTCTTTCCCTCCTCTGTCCCCCGTTCCCCCATAAACCCCCTGCCCCTGTATTGGCTCCTGTTTCCTCAGGCCCTGGAGTGCCTGGTGCGTCTAGCCTCCGTCTTTCCCTAGCCCCCACACCATCTATCTTTCCCTAGCCCCCACACTTCCCTCCTCTGTCCCCCGTCCCCCCATAAACCCCCTGCCCCTGTATTGGCTCCTGTTTCCTCAGGCCCTGGAGTGCCTGGTGCGCCTAGCTTCAGTGCGTCGCTTGCTATTCACAGGGGAAGCAGAGTGCCTCAAGTTCCTGTCGCACCTCATGAACGGCTCCACGGAGATCCTGCGGTTCCCGTTCAACCTTTCCCCTGTCTGTCCCTCCTGTGTTTGCGCCTCTTTTCTCAGGCCTTGGAGTGCCTTGTGCGTCTAGCTTCAGTGCGCCGGTCACTCTTCACAGGGGAAGCAGAGCGCCTCAAGTTCCTGTCGCACCTCATGAACTGCTCCACGGAGACCCTGTCCGCCTTTTTCTCCCCCTGCCCCTTGTCCTGCCGCCTTCTCCCCATCTCTCTCCCCACTCCCGCCAGGCTTTGGAATGCTTGGTGCGTCTAGCCTCGGTCCGCCGGTCGCTCTTCACAGGCGAGGCAGAGCGCCTCAAGTTCCTCTCGCACCTCATGAACGGCTCCACGGAGATCCTGCGCTCCAAGCAGGGCCTGTCGCAGCACGACAACAACCACCCATAGCACCCCAACCCCCAAACCACCCCTCTTCCCCTCCTCTGTTCCCCGTTCCACCTCCCCCCACCGTTCGCCCGTCTGTCCCCACCCCCCTGTCCCTGTATTGACGCCTTTTTCAGGCTTTGGAATGCTTGGTGCGTCTAGCCTCGGTCCGCCGGTCGCTCTTCACAGGCGAGGCAGAGCGCCTCAAGTTCCTCTCGCACCTCATGAACGGTTCCACGGAGATCCTGCGCTCCAAGCAGGGCCTGTCGCAGCACGACAACTACCATGAGTACTGCCGCCTGCTGGGCCGCCTCAAGACCAACTACCAGCTGGCCGAGCTGGTGAACGCAGACAATTATGCCGAGTGGGTGCAGCTTGTAGCCGAGTTTACAATCACCTCGCTGCAGTCCTGGCAGGTGCGTGGAGTGGGTGGGGTGGGGTTGCTTTCGTGTCACAGGTGCACCCATACATCACCTAAGGGGCCAACTACCAGCTCGCTGAGCTGGTGAATGCAGACAATTATGCCGAGTGGGTGCAGCTTGTAGCCGAGTTTACAATCACCTCGCTGCAGTCCTGGCAGGTGCGTGGGTGGGTTGGGCTGGGTGGGGTTGGGTGGGGTTGGGTGGGGTTGGGTGGGGGTTGGGTGGGATTGGGTGGGGTTGGGTGGGGTTGGGTGGGGTTGGGTGGGATTGGGTGGTGAATTTGGTGCGGTGGGTGGGGTTGATGTGCTGTGAGCCACGGGTGGGTGGGTGAGAGGGCCTGTCGCAGCACGACAACTACCACGAGTACTGCCGCCTGCCGGGCCGCCTCAAGACCAACTACTTGCTTTCCCCTTGCTCACTCCACCACCCATATACAATCCCCCCCCTCTTTCTCCCTCGTCCCCACCCCACCCCACCAGTGGGCGAGTGGCAGTGTGTATTTCCTGCTGGGCCTCTGGTCGCGTCTGGTCTCCTCAATGGCCTACACCAAGAGTGACTGCCCCAGCCAGCTGACACCTGCACAGCTCTCTCTGTTCCAAGCACACTCATGCGCCCCTCCTTGGCCCATTTTACCTTCCTGCTTCCCCCCTGCGGCCCCCTGCTCCTCTCCTTCCACATTTTCCTCCCCACCCCAACCCTCTCTCCCACCCCAAACTCCCCTCACCAGTGGGCGAGTGGCAGTGTGTATTTCCTGCTGGGCCTCTGGTCGCGCCTGGTCTCCTCAATGGCCTACACCAAGAGCGACTGCCCCAGCCTGCTCGACAACTTTGTGCCTCAGATTACGGAGGCTTACATAACATCCCGCCTCGACTCCGTTCAGGTTGGCAGTCACCTACAAAAACGAAGAAAAAAAAATGGGTTGGGGGGGGGGGGGGGGGGGGGTCATGGGTTAAGATGCGTGGTGCATGGGGCAAGATGCATGGAGCATGGCGCATGGTGCTTCAGATTCCAGACTTTATGGTGCATAGCATAATGCACAAGGCTGTTCTTCTGTCAATTCAGTGTTTGACGTTATGCTGCTTGGTTTTATCCCCCTTATAGGCAGTGCTTCAGAACAACCTATCAGAGGATCCGCTGGACAACGACGAGCAGCTACAAGACCAGCTAGACAATCTCCCCTACCTCTGCCGGTTCCAGGTACGCATACATACACGTGTTGCTGTTTTTCCTTGAACGACGCGCATGTGTGCGCGCGTGTTGAACAATGACGAGCAGCTACAGGACCAGCTAGACAACCTCCCTTACCTCTGCAGGTTCCAGGTATGAACAGATGTCTGAAAAGTCTCCCTTCAGCTATAGGCTACAATTCTTCACAGCAATATGTGATCGTCTTTCCCTCACCTCTCACTCCTCTCTCGTTTCTGCTTGCCTTCTCTGCAGTTTGACCGGACCAGCAAGTTCATCATCAGCCATCTAGAGCCCATCATGCAGTCATATACGGTGAGTCTGACCCTTACACTGCTATGGGGTATTGCTGGTATTGCTGGTAGTGCTGGTAGTGCTGGTAGTGCTGGTAGTGCTGGTAGTGCTGGTAGTGCTGGTAGTGCTGGTAGTGCTGGTAGTGCTGGTAGTGCTGGTAGTGCTGACAAGTCTCTGCCTTGCTGCTCGTAGACCCTGTGTCCGCGCTCGTTGTCAGTCATTACAACATGTGACCCTCCCCCTCTTCCACCATCTTAGGAGGCGGTGCGGTGGCAGCCAGCTGTAGCAACGAGCAGCACAAACCAGGCAGCGCTACAGGTGATGGAGAGCCAGAGCGTGTGTTTTGAGAATTCTCAAAAAGCAGCGCTACAGCTGATGGAGAGCCAGAGCGTGTGTTTTGAGAATTCTCAAAAAGCAGCGCTACAGCTGATGGAGAGCCAGAGCGTGTGTTTTGAGAATTCTCAAAAAGCAGCGCTACAGCTGATGGAGAGCCAGAGCGTGTGTTTTGAGAATTCTCAAAAAGCAGCGCTACAGGTGATGGAGAGCCAGGAGGCTGGGGCAGTCGCTCTTCCCCGCTCCTTCCCTTCCCTCTCCATCCCACCCTCCCCCGCACCCCCCCTCTTTCAATTTTAATTATCACAGGAGGCGGCGCAGTGAGCCGCCTGTATCAGCGAGCAGCAGCAGCCAGGCAGCGCTACAGGTGATAAGAGCCAATCAACCCTGCTCCTTCCCCTTCCCAACCCCCATCTTCCACCATCTTAGGAGGCGGCACGGTGGCAGCCGGCTGTAGCGGCGAGCAGCAGCAGCCAGGCGGCGCTACAGGTGATAAGAGCCAATCAACCCTGCTCCTTCCCCTTCCCAACCCCCATCTTCCACCATCTTAGGAGGCGGCACGGTGGCAGCCGGCTGTAGCGGCGAGCAGCAGCAGCCAGGGGGCGCTACAGGTGATGGAAAGCCAGCTGACGTGGATTGTGCACATCATTGGCGCCATTGTCCGGGGCCGACTCAGCTCCAGCAGGTGCTCCCTCGCTCACTCCCTCACTCACTCACTCCCTCCCTCACTCACTCACTCAGTATTCGTCTTTCCTACTTGATTCCTTAGGTATAGGTAGTGGCAAATAGCAGCAGCTGATGCAGTGCTAGCTACCTTTTCACACTCCTATTCCTTCACTCTCTCATTCTGTCACATGCTCACTCCCTCCTTCCCTCCCTCCCTCCCTCCCTCCCTCCCTCCTTCCCTCCCTCCCTCACTCACGCTGACTGAATTCCGAGAATACTTGCAGTGGCGATTCACAGGAGCTGATTGATGGGGAGCTGGCAGCAAGGGTATTGCAGCTCATTCAAGTCACCGACACAGGACTCCATGCACAGGTGAGGAGGGTGACTGAGGGGCGTCACAAAAGGTGGCGCTTGAAAGGGGTGCCTGACGGGTAATACGAAGGACTGCAGGTCAGGGGGGGCGCATACATGCATGCCGGCTGGCAGCAAGGGTGTTCCAGCTCATTCAAGTCACCGACACAGGACTCCATGCACAGGTGAGGAGGGTGACTGAGGGGCGTGACAAAAGGTGGCGCTTGAAAGGGGTGCCTGACGGGTAATACGAAGGACTGCAGGTCAGGGGGGGCGCATACATGCATGCCGGCTGGCAGCAAGGGTGTTCCAGCTCATTCAAGTCACCGACACAGGACTCCATGCACAGGTGAGGAGGGCATGGAGGTGGATGGGTGCTTGAGAGTTGTGCTTGAGGGTAGTGCGAAGGACTGCAAGTAAGATGGCCTGCAAGGGTGTTCCAGCTCATTCAAGTCACCGACACAGGACTCCATGCACAGGTGAGGAGGCCATGGAGGTGGGTGGGTGCTTGAGAGTTGTGCTTGAGGGTGGTGCGAAGGACTGCAAGTAAGATGGCCTGCAAGGGTGTTCCAGCTCATTCAAGTCACCGACACAGGACTCCATGCACAGGTGAGGAGGGCATGGAGGTGGATGGGTGCTTGAGAGTTGTGCTTGAGGGTAGTGCGAAGGACTGCAAGTAAGATGGCCTGCAAGGGTGTTCCAGCTCATTCAAGTCACCGACACAGGACTCCATGCACAGGTGAGGAGGCCATGGAGGTGGGTGGGTGCTTGAGAGTTGTGCTTGAGGGTAGTGCGAAGGACTGCAAGTAAGATGGCCTGCAAGGGTGTTCCAGCTCATTCAAGTCACCGACACAGGACTCCATGCACAGGTGAGGAGGCCATGGAGGTGGGTGGGTGCTTGAGAGTTGTGCTTGAGGGTAGTGCGAAGGACTGCAAGTAAGATGGCCTGCAAGGGTGTTCCAGCTCATTCAAGTCACCGACACAGGACTCCATGCACAGGTGAGGAGGCCATGGAGGTGGGTTGGTGCTTGAGAGTTGTGCTTGAGTGTAGTGCGAAGGACTGCAAGTAAGATGGCCTGCAAGGGTGTTCCAGCTCATTCAAGTCACCGACACAGGACTCCATGCACAGGTGAGGAGGGCTGCACGCACAGGTGAGGAGGGCTGCACGCACAGGTGAGGAGGGCTGCACGCACAGGTGAGGAGGGCTGCACGCACAGGTGAGGAGGGCTGCACGCACAGGTGAGGAGGGCTGCACGCACAGGTGAGGAGGGCTGCACGCACAGGTGAGGAGGGCTGCACGCACAGGTGAGGAGGGCTGCACGCACAGGTGAGGAGGGCTGCACGCACAGGTGGGGCCTGGCTGAGGGGTTGCTAGTATGGACGACGGCTTGATGCTGCCGTGCATGCCTACTGCTGTGCTACGGTGAGTGCAGCAGGCAGCAATTGGACTCTGCAGCGCTCTCCTCTACTGCTACTCAGTCACATCTCTCTTCTCGTGCCTGCGCTTGCCCCTGCCCATTGATATCCACCTCCTTCTCCCCCCCAGCGCTACGACGAGCGCAGCAAGCAGCGGTTGGATTTCGCGGTGCTCTCCTTCTTTCAGAATTCAACCATCTCTTCCATTCCCCATCCTTTCCTTTCCTTCCCTCTCTCCCTCGTACTCTTTTTATCTCCTCTCAGCGCTACGACGAGCGCAGCAAGCAGCGGTTGGACCTGGCGGTGCTCTCCTTCTTTCAGAACTTCCGCCGCGTCTACGTGGGCGACCAGGCCATGCACGCCTCCAAGGTGGACACCGTTGAGCCATGCCTGGGTGCCAAGGTGACATGCATGCTGAGGTAACACGTCTAGTGTACGTTCCTGATGCTGCTGTCTACGTGGGCGACCAGGCCATGCACGCCTCCGAGGTGGACACCGTTGAGCCATGCCTGGGTGCCAAGGTGACATGCATGCCATGGTCGCTGTGCGTGGGCCCAAGGTAGCTCTCTTACCTGTAGCTGGTAGGTCGCTACGTTGGCGACCAGGCCATGCACGCCTCCAAGATGGACCTCATTCTGCCCTTTCTGGGCGCCAAGGTGACATGCATGGTTAGGTTAAGTTGTATCACACGCCACATGGCTGTAGCACGACCACTATGGGCACTTGCAGCTGTAGGTCGCTGTGTGGGCGACCAGGCCATGCCATGCACGCTTCCAAGGTGGACCTCATTCTCCCGTGCCTCGGCTCGCAGGTGACTGGTCATGTCTAGGTTGTAGCAGCACAGGCTACATGGCTGTCTTGCTTGTCGCACATTTAGTGTAGTGTGTACCTGATGATGGTCACATTGGGCGATCGGACCATGCACGCCTCCAAGGTGGACCTCATTCTCCCGTGCCTCGGCTCGCAGGTGACTGGTCATGTCTAGGTTGTAGCAGCACAGGCTACATGGCTGTCTTGCTTGTCGCACATTTAGTGTAGTGTGTACCTGATGATGGTCACATTGGGCGATCGGACCATGCACGCCTCCAAGGTGGACCTCATTCTCCCGTGCCTCGGCTCGCAGGTGACTGGTCATGTCTAGGTTGTAGCAGCACAGGCTACATGGCTGTCTTGCTTGTCGCACATTTAGTGTAGTGTGTACCTGATGATGGTCACATTGGGCGATCGGACCATGCACGCCTCCAAGGTGGACCTCATTCTCCCGTGCCTCGGCTCGCAGGTGACTGGTCATGTCTAGGTTGTAGCAGCACAGGCTACATGGCTGTCTTGCTTGTCGCACATTTAGTGTAGTGTGTACCTGATGATGGTCACATTGGGCGATCGGACCATGCACGCCTCCAAGGTGGACCTCATTCTCCCGGGCCTCGGCTCGCAGGTGACTGGTCATGTCTAGGTTGTAGCAGCACAGGCTACATGGCTGTCTTGCTTGTCGCACATTTAGTGTAGTGTGTACCTGATGATGGTCACATTGGGCGATCGGACCATGCACGCCTCCAAGGTGGACCTCATTCTCCCGGGCCTCGGCTCGCAGGTGACTGGTCATGTCTAGGTTGTAGCAGCACAGGCTACATGGCTGTCTTGCTTGTCGCACATTTAGTGTAGTGTGTACCTGATGATGGTCACATTGGGCGATCGGACCATGCACGCGTCCAAGCCAAGGTGTTCAACTTTTAGCCCTGTCTGGGCTCGCTCACTCATCTAGGTGACATGTCTGGGCGTGCAGGTCCTCAGGTGACTCAGCTTCCAAGCCAAGGCGTTCAATTTTTAACCCTTCCCCGTGTCTTTTTCCCTCTCGTGTGACCTCCCTTCACAGATTCTCTATGCCCGCCTGGCAGACCTGCTGGGTCTGCAAGATCACCTGATGTGATGGTGCCCTCTTACCTGCTGCTTCATCCCTCCTCCCTCTCCCTCACTCCTCGACTCCCCGCCCCCTCTCACCCTTGCTCATCCTCCTTCCCTCCCTTCACAGATCCTCTATGCCCGCCTGGCTGACCTACTGGGCTTGCAAGACCACCTGATGGTTCTCAACGTGATTGTAGCAAAGATAGCCACCAACCTCAAGTGCTACACCAAGGTGCGTGTGCTGTTTTCCATGCCGGGATAAGCTATCATGAGGCTTGCAAGATCACCTGATGGTTCTCAACGTGATTGTGGCAAAGATAGCAACCAACCTCAAGTGCTACACCAAGGTGCGTGTGCTGTTTTCCATGCCGGGATAAGCTATCACGAGGCCTGCAAGATCACTTGATGGTTCTCAACGTGATTGTGGCAAAGATAGCAACCAACCTCAAGTGCTACACCAAGGTGGGATATTCAGCCGCTTTTTTTTCACATTCTCTTCCCGTGCTTTCCTTCTCCCGTTTCGCAGCTGTTGCCACTTTTTCCGCCCGGAATGTTTTCTAATTAACACCACTCTACCAATATCTCTCTATCACCCCTCTCCCTCTACTGGTATCAGAGCGAGGACGTGATCGAACAAACGTTGAACCTTTTCCAAGAGCTTGCAGGGGGGTGAGTTTGGGTGGTGGGGGGAAGGGGGGGGAAAGGGGGGCTAGAGTTAAAACTGGGATGAAATTCTTAATGGTTGGATACCTATTTGGTTCTCATTGCACTACTTTCTTCATGTTTACCATCCCTTTCACCTACCCATAGTCTTGCCCCATGCGCTGCTCCCTCTTTCCCTCCCACCCATCCACACTCCTCCCTTTCCAGCCCACTTGTGCTGCTCCTGCCACCAATTTCTCTCCTTTGAATTCCTTCTCCAAATCTTTTATTCCTCTCTCTCACCCCTCTCTCTCAGCTACATGAGTGGCAAGCTGCTGTTGAAACTGGACTCTGTCAATTTTATCCTAGCCAATCACACAGTAAGTGCAGGGTTCAAGAAGGGGAGAGAGGAGGTGTGTGCGTGTATGCGCACGTGCGAGTGTGTGCATCTGGTTTGCAACCCCATAAAAGCACGTGAAAATCCGATTAAGCACCTTTTGTGTGCCCCATCACATCCAATTGGCCGCGTGTTTATGGTCTTGCCTGCAGTTGTTTCTAGCCATTGGATCGTCAGGAATGGCTGGTTTAGATCTGCTCCAATGCCACACCCTGCCCCCTGATCTCCATTGCTGCCCTGCCATGCGTCCTGCTGTGATTGGCAGAGCGAGCACTTCCCCTTCCTGGACGAGCCGAGCAGCACGCGCAATCGCACCATCTTCTACTTCACCCTCACCCGCCTCCTCTTCATGGAGGACTCGCCCCAGAAGTTTAAAGCCTTCGTGGCCCCTCTGCAGCTGGTAAGGCGCTGGTCTGTCACAGGCGTCACAGACTTACCGTGTAGCAAGGGGTAAAGGCCAACCGCACCATCTTCTACTTCACTCTCACGCGCCTCCTATTCATGGAGGACTCGCCCCAGAAGTTCAAAGCCTTCGTGGCTCCCCTTCAGCTGGTAAGGCGTTGGTCTGTCAGGACTCACCGGCTAGCAAGGAATCAGGTAAAGGCCAATCCCACCATCTCCCACTTCACTCTCACACGCCTGCTCTTCATGGAAGGCTCGCCCTAGAAGTTCAAAGCCTTTATGGCACCTCTTCAGCTGGTAAGGCGCTGGTGTGTCACAGGCGTCACAGACTCACAGCCTAGCAAGGTGTAAAGGCCAACCGCACCATCTTCTGCTTCACGCTCACACGCCTCCTTTTCATGGAAGACTCGCCCCAGAAGTTCATCAAAGCATTCGTGGCACCTCTTCAGCTGGTGAGCGCTTTGCCTTGGTATGACAGCCAAGCATCGTCTTGGGTACTTTCCACCAGCTGCCTTTCAACTGCCAGTCCAATCGATCATGCCATCGTCTACTTCACTCCCAACCCTCCCTCTCGCTGCACCGCACCCCTCATCACCCCTCATCACCCCTCACCACCCAGGTGTTCGTGAAGCTCGAGCCAATGCCAGATGCACCTTCCTGCAGCAAGCCAGTCAAAGCATGTGCTGACCCCTATCCCTACACCATTCGCCACCCCTCATCACCCCTCACCACCACACAGGTGTTTGTGAAGCTGGAGTCTATGCCAGACGCCTCCTTCCGCACAGAGCCAGTCAAGTTCGCCCTCATCGGCCTCTTCAGAGACTTGAGAGGAATCACCATGGCCACCAACAGGTAGGCAACGAGCATTTTGCCTTAGCCAGCGTGACTTGACTTGTGCTGAGTACATGGACCATGGTGTACCATCATCAGCTGGTCAAGTTCGCCCTCATCGCCCTCTTCAGAGACTTGAGAGGAATCACCATGGCCACCAACAGGTACCAGTACAAGCTGTTATTCTATCATCCAGTGATTGTTGCTGCACTATGTGACTTTTGAGTCGACTCAAAAGGTGACTTTTGACTTTTGAGTCGACTCAAAAGTCACTTAACAGGTACCAGTACAAGCTGTTATTGTATCATCTAGTAATTGTTGCTGCACTATGTGACGATCTACATTATCTCCCAGTAAGTGCTGTAAAACATCTGTATTTTTTTACCCCCTTCACCCGTCGCACCGAATCTACCCCGTCTACATGCCCTTTTTCTCCTTCCGCCCTGACCCGCTCTTCCCCTCCCCTCCCCTCGCCTCCCCTCCCATCCCCTCCCCTCCTCTCCCCTCCCCTCCCCTCCCCTCCCCTCGCCTCCCCTCCCCTCTCCTCCCCTCCTCTCCCCTCCCCTCCCCTCCCCTCCCCTCCCCTCCCCTCCCACACCCGTTTGACCCCCCCCATGACAGCCGGCGCACGTTCGGGCTGCTGTTTGACTGGCTCTACCCCGCCCACATGCCGCTCATTCTGCGCACCGCCCAGTTCTGGTCCGACACCCCCGCGGTCACCACGCCGCTCCTCAAGTTCTTCGCCGAGTTTGTGGTCAACAAGACGCAGCGCCTCACCCGTTCCCCTGCCATACCTCCCTTGTGTTCCCTTCCCTCCACCAGGTCACCACGCCCCTCATCAAGTTCTTTGCTGAATTCGTGGTCAACAAGACGCAGCGCCTCACCTTTGACTCACCTGCAGGCTGCTCTTCTGACTGGCTATACCCCGCCCTCATCCCTTGTTATTTCCTGCGTTCGTCGTGACCTGCTCTCCCCCCCCCACCCCATGGCAGCCGGCGCACGTTCGGGCTGCTCTTTGACTGGCTGTACCCGGCCCACATGCCGCTCATTCTGCTCACCGCCCAGTTCTGGTCCGACACCCCCGCGGTCACCACGCCTCTCCTCAAGTTCTTTGCCGAATTCGTGGTCAACAAGACGCAGCGCCTCACCTTTGACTCGTCGTCGCCAAATGGCATCCTGCTCTTCCGGGAAGCTTCCAAGCTGGTGGTGACGTACGGCAAGCACGCCCTTGCCATGCCCACCGGCGCACACCCTTACACGGCCAAGTACAAGGGCGTGTGGATCGCACTCACTGTGCTCACGAGAGGTAATGCTCAGAATGCTTTCACAGCAGACATGATCCTTTGGTGTGCATTTATGCCTATACACCCTGAAGCACCTTACTGTATGGTGGTACTGCTTTTGCTGTAAAGCACCTTAGAACACCAGTCCCCCTTCCGCCTTCCAACCCACCAAATGTGTTCCACTCCGTGCAGCCCTCGCGGGAAAGTATGTCAATTTGTAATGGAGCTGTACGGACACACGGCCCTGCCCGATGCTCATGAATGAACCCAATGATATGCCCCCTTCTTCCCATTCCCTTTCACCCTGTAATGACTTGACTTTTGAGTCGACTCATAAGTCAATTTGTAATGGAGCTGCACGGAGACAAGACACTGCCCTGCCCGATGCTCATGAACCCCATAATATGCCACCTTCTTCCCATTCCCTTTCACCCGGTAATCCACCTGCCTTGCCTCAGCCCAGGCAGGGCAACTACATCAATTTCGGAGCAATGGAGCTGTATGGACACACTGCGCTGCCCGATGCCCATGAACCCCCCGGCCCCTTCCCCCCTCTTCTCTTCCTACGCCCCTCTCTCCCCTCTTTCCTGCCCCATCCCCTGTGCCCCACCATGCAGCCCTGGCAGGGAACTACGTCAACTTTGGAGTCATGGAGCTGTATGGAGACACCGCCCTGCCCGATGCTCTCGACGTGGCCCTCAAGCTCTGCCTCTCCATCCCTCTGCCTGAAATCATGGCCTTCAGAAAGGTTCGTTTGTCGATGTCTCCTCTTCTCCACCTGTCTTCCTGAGAATACGGGCTTCAGAAAGGTCTGTTGTGGTCCTCTCCTCTCTATGCCTCTCCGCCCTTTTGAGGCGCATCAAAATCTATCTCATCCACGTTCAGCCACCTTTCTCTTTTGACTCCTGTCTCCCACTCTCTTCCGTTACACCCCCCCACAGTTGGCGCGGGCATATTTCGCCTTTCTGGAAGTGCTGTGTCACAACCACACGATCGTGATCATCAACCTGCCCACAGCCAATTTCAGCCACCCACCTTCTCTTTTGACTCCTGTCTCCCATGCCACCCTTCTTACACCCCACACCACAGCTCGCCCAGGCCTACTTTGCTTTCTTGGAGGTGCTGTGCCACAACCACACGCTCGTCATCATCAACCTGCCCACCACCACGTTCCCACTCTTCCCATCCACCCACCCATTCTCTTCCCTCCCAAAACCCCCGCAGCTCGCCCGCGCATATTTCGCCTTCCTAGAGGTCCTCTGTCACAACCACACTCTCGTCATCATCAATCTGCCCACTGCCACGTTCAGCCACCTGGTGGGGTCGCTGGATACAGGGCTCAAGTGCCTTGATGTTTCGATCTCCTCACAGGTGAGTGGGGTGTGGGGAGTGAGGGGGAGGGTTGGGTCTGGTTGGTGTGTCCTGATGTTAGCACACCGTTCAGCCACCTGGTGGCGTCGCTGGATACAGGGCTCAAGTGCCCGGACGTTTCCATCTCATCTCAGGTGAGGGGTGTTGGTTCAGAAAGAGGGTTGGGTCTGAATCGTAGGGTGGGGTGGGTATGTGGATGGTAGCACACCGTTCAGCCACCTGGTGGCGTCGCTGGATACAGGGCTCCATTTCGCCTGGACGTCTCCATTTCGTCTCAGGTGTATGGGGGCATGGGGGTTGAGGGAGAGGGTTGGTTGGGAGGGTGGAATCCGGGTGTGTCTTTGGCTGCACGTCGTTCGGGCATGTGGTGGGGTCGCTGATGACTTTTGAGCCGACTCAAAAGTCAGGCTGCACATCGTTCGGGCACGTGGTGGGGTCGCTGGTGACTTTTGAGTCGACTCAAAAGTCAGGCTGCACGTCGTTCGGGCACGTGGTGGGGTCGCTGGTGACTTTTGAGTCGACTCAAAAGTCAGGCTGCACGTCGTTCGGGCACGTGGTGGGGTCGCTGGTGACTTTTGAGTCGACTCAAAAGTCAGGCTGCACGTCGTTCGGGCACGTGGTGGGGTCGCTGGACACAGGCCTCTCTAGTGCCTAGACGTCTCCATTTCGTCCAAGGTGAGGAGTGCGGGAGTGGAAAGAGAGGGAAGGGTTCAGTCGAGATCGCATGGTGGGAGTGTTTGTGACAGCGGGGGGGATGCACTCTTACCATACACCTAAAAAAAAGGAATGTTTTGAGACGTCTCAAAACACTCCTTTTTTCAGTGTTTGTGACAGCGGAGGGGATGCACTCTTACCATGCACCTAAAAAAGAATACCCTACACTTTCCCCTTTTCCTTTCCCCTCCTCCCGTCCACATCACTCCAGTGTGCCTCAGCAGTGGAAAATCTAGCAGCCGACTACTTCAACAACGTCACAGCAGGGGACACACCCTTCTTTCCAACCCTTTGAATCTGTCCTCCCCTCCCTCGTTTCCCGCCCCCGTACGCGTCAATCCAGTGCGCCTCAGCAGTGGACAACCTAGCAGCCGACTACTTCAACAACGTCACAGCAGCGGATGCACCCTCCTCTCCAACCTCTCTTGAATCTGTCCTCCCTCCCTTCTCTCCTGCCCTCCAAACTTCTTCAATCCAGTGTGCCTCAGCAGTGGACAATCTAGCAGCCTACTATTTCAACAACGCCACGGCAGGGGATGCCCTTTTCAGTCCAGCTGCTCTAAACTCTGTCCTCGCCTCCTTTTCCCCCCCACCACCCACGTCTCTCCAGTGTGCCTCAGCAGTGGACAATCTAGCAGCCTACTATTTCAACAACGTCACGGCAGGGGATGCACCCTCCTCGCCTGCCGCTCTCACCATCGCGCAACACTTGGCTGAGTGCCCCACACTCTTTCCCGAGGCAAGCTGATCCCTACATTCCACTTGATATCTCTCCAAGCTGTTGGTGATGGTGGTCCCATTCGAGCTCACAATCCACTACTTGGCCAACTAGAGGAGTGCAAGGGGTGGACTGGACCCACGCTGTCCCTCTGCCTTCATCTCCTCTTCCGAGTTGACTTTTGAGTCGACTCAAAAGTCAACTCACAATCCACTACTTGGCCAACTAGAGGAGTGCAAGGGGTGGACTGGACTGGACCCACGCTGTCCGTCTGCCTTCATCTCCTCTTCCTCTCCTTGCCTTGCCTGCTCTGCTCTCTCCATTCTTTCTGCTCTTGCTTCTCTTTCTGCTCTCTCTGCTCCCCCTGTTCTCCACGTGCTACCTCCAGATCCTCAAGACGCTGTTCGAGATCGTGTTATTCGAGGACTGTGCCAACCAGTGGAGCCTCAGCAGACCCATGCTCTCCCTTATCCTGGTCAACGAGCAGCTATACAACGACCTCAAGCTGCAAATACTCTCCTCTCAAGTATGTCATGTACACACACACACATATGCATGCGCGCACGTGCACGCACTGCATGCACACACATCGTGCCTTTCTCTCTCATCGCTCTCATCCTGGTCAACGAGCAGCGCTACAATGACCTCAAGCTGCAAATACTCTCCTCTCAAGTATGTCCCGCATCCCCACGCGCGCGCACATACGCACGCACACACGCACATACGCACGCACACACGCACATACGCATGCACACGCGCACATACGCATGCACACGCGCACATACGCATGCACACGCGCACATACGCATGCACACGGGCGCACACAGACTCACGCGCATGCACGCACACACGGTGTCTTGTTCTCAAGTAAGCTCTAGGAGAGTATATACTCTCCCAACTCTGCCCTCCTCTCCGCCATTTGATAGGTATTGTATTCATCCATCAAACTATGTTCCAACGGACATGGATCAGACGTGAACCAAAATATTTAATCACAACTGTTCTTTCTCATTCTTGCTTGCTGCATCCTTCCCTCGGTGGGCGCTTACCCTCCCCTCCCCTGTTTCCGCCTGTCCCTTACCTTCCCGCCTCCCTTTGACAGCCATCGAATCAGCGGAGTGCTTTGACAAGCTGATGGCGGATGTGGGGCGGAACCTCGACCCAAACCCCCGCTTGTCCCTCTCTCCCTATCTCCCTATCTCCCAGCCATCGGACCAGCGGCCGCGCATAGCGGAGTGCTTTGACAAGCTGATGGCGGATGTGGGGCGGAACCTCGACCCAAACCCCCGCTTGTCCCTCTCTCCCTATCTCCCTATCTCCCAGCCATCGGACCAGCGGCCGCGCATAGCGTAGTGCTTTGACAAGCTGATGGCGGATGTGGGGCGGAACCTCGACCCAAACCCCCGCTTGTCCCTCTCTCCCCATCTCCCTATCTCCCAGCCATCGGATCAGCGGCCGCGCATAGCGGAGAACTTTGACAAGCTGATGGCGGATGTGGGGCGGAACCTGCACCCCAACTCTCGCTTCTCCACCATCCTCACTCTTCCATTCTCTTGTCCCTTCAATAGCCTTCAACACCCCCCGGCCCCTCCCTTTCCCCTCTCCTCCCCCTCTCCCTGCCTTCTTTCCTCCCTCTATCCCAATCTGCGTGTCTCCCCCTCTCTCTGTCTCCATGTCTCCTGATATCCCTATCTCCCAGCCATCGGACTAGCGGCCGTGCATAGCAGAGTGCTTTGACAAGCTGATGGCGGATGTGGGGCGGAACCTCGACCCAAACCCCCGCTTGTCCCTCTCTCCCTATCTCCCTATCTCCCAGCCATCGGACCAGCGGCCGCGCATAGCGGAGTGCTTTGACAAGCTGATGGCGGATGTGGGGCGGAACCTCGACGCAAACCCCCGCTTGTCCCTCTCTCCCTATCTCCCTATCTCCCAGCCATCGGACCTGCGGCCGCGCATAGCGGAGTGCTTTGACAAGCTGATGGCGGATGTGGGGCGGAACCTCGACCCAAACCCCCGCTTGTCCCTCTCTCCCTACCTCCCTATCTCCCTATCTCCCAGCCATCGGATCAGCGGCCGCGCATAGCGGAGTGCTTTGACAAGCTGATGGCGGATGTGGGGCGGAACCTCGACCCAAACCCCCGCTTGTCCCTCTCTCCCTATCTCCCAGCCATCGGATCAGCGGCCGCGCATAGCAGAGTGCTTTGACAAGCTGATGGCGGATGTGGGGCGGAACCTGCACCCCAAATCTCACTTCTCCACCACTCTCAATTCTCCATTGTTTTGTCCCTTCAATAGCCTCAACGGATTCCCCTCTCCTCCTCCCCAAAATCGCAGTGCCTCTGTGTCTCCCTGTATTTCATTCACCTTTACTCCCTCCCTCACTCTCTCCCTATCCCCCTCACCCCAGCCATCGGATCAGCGGCCGCGCATAGCCGAGTGCTTTGACAAGCTGATGGCGGATGTGGGGCGGAACCTCGACCCCAAGAACCGAGACAAGTTCACTCAGAACCTAACCATTTTCCGGCACGACTTCCGTGCTAAGTAAAGCCACTGCACCTGTGCCAAGAAAATTGCGGCATGACGGTCCGGTTTACTTTGAAGGCGCCAAAATAATGCTTTCCAGGTGCAGCCAGCCTGGTACAGTGCGTGCCCTTCTCTCCGCTACAACTGGATCAGTATACAACCGGATCAGCACCGCCGGTACAATGCCTCTGCTACAGTATCTGCAGTTTAATGCCGGAGAAAAAGAAGAGAAGGGCAGGAAAAGGATGTGCTAACCATCTTCCGGCAGCATTTCTGTGCCAAGGGAGCTTGACACAGTCTGCTCACTTCTAACACCCAAAACGTTGTAGGCTGGTCAACCGGGAAAAAGAAAAAAGGGTTTAGGATCAAATCAGTTTTATCAGCCAGTCAAGTGATGATTTGAATTTGAAGGAATATATCTTGGTACACCAGTTGAATTTCTCTGAATAAATAGGTGCACCGTCCGTTTACATTCTACAACCGCACCACGTCGTTTTGCTAGTCTGCTAGAACCAGCGGGATGCTAGTCTGACAGAAATGCTAGTCTGCCAGAACCATCAGGACATGAGGGGAACAAATGGCTAGCTGTTTCCAGGAGGCGGAGAAAATCGCCTAACTGGTTTGCAAACGAAGAATAAGAATCTGCGGATTCAGCGTGGGACCTGCGAGGAAGCATGAGAGTTGTGGGAAGGGATACAGGATGTCATAGTACGGTTCGCATGATGTTTGCGGTGCGTGGAATGAATGTGAGGTCTATGAAAGGAAAAACGGGAGAGACGCGGAACAGGCAGAACAGTAGCGTTGCGTGTGACGGGCACGGCCCGTCAGAAAGCTATAACTGTAAGGCAAGGAGGAATGGTATATATATGTATATAAAAGCGCAAGCGTAGGAACTTGTTGAGAAACTCCTGACGGAAGAGGGAGGGGAAACTGAAACCGTGAACCAATGGCGCGGAACAAGAATCTAGGAAATCCGCCGCGAAGAGCTGCAAGGATCCTGGCTGTCAGCCGCGATTTCACATCAAAGCGCACAACCTGAGCGTGAGTTAGTTCCTCAACGCTCAGCAGTACGCCCCGAGCGAGCGACGACACGGAAACCACGGAATGCTGAATCAAAAGTTGATTGAAATTTCTACAGAAGCAATTTCTGAAATTTTCTATAAAATCGAAAAAGCAGAGCCAATAACGGCACCGAACAGAGGAGATGAAGCCCAACAAGAAGAGCACTCGCAAGAACTAAGGCCGTACTACGGTGCTTTACTTCGCTGTATTAGAAGACAAAGGTAATTGAAAACCAAAGCGCTACGACCTAAGGCTACGAGGACTGACGCGCCGCCGCCACTCCCGCCAGCGACAATGCCTATGTGTGAAAGCTGAGGATGTGGAACAAAAGCTGCTCTCTATCGAAACAGAGAGGGATGAATTGAGAGGCACGAGTTTGGGTTGAAAGGATGTATCGTGAGGAAAGCTCTCAGCTTCCCACGCCAGCAACCGGGCCCATACCGCAGAAATGGACGGTGCAAATTTCGGAAAATAAGAACGAAAGTTTGAGGAAATGTAGGCATACCTTTCTCGGCCTTTTGGCTAAGATCAAGTGTAGTATCTGTTCTTATCAGTTTAATATCTGATACGTGGACCATCGGTCCACATGATATTAAATTAATTTCTTTCGGGGGCAGGTGCCAATGGCCAGCTTGCTGGTCGGCCCTGTGCGCGTCGCCTCAGTATTGCACTATCTCTGAGGAAGGCGCACCCCTCCCCACACGGGGACCAAAACAAAAGTGAAATGGGATTTGGCAACCCTAAAGAAAGTTGTGGAAGCAAATCAAAATATCCTAAAAAACAAAAAACCTTGACGTTGCATCAGCTGGAAAATATGGTATCCAAAATGTGGGAACCAACATTTACCTACCCCTATTCCGCCTACTGGTTTCGACATACCGTATTCAATAGCCAGGCTGATGATTTTACATTTTTCCAATCACACTAGCACTGGTATTCTGCAAATGTGAGGGTGGGACTGCTGCAAGTTCTCAACAAAAAATATCACTAACTACAGTCTCTGCTCTATCATGGCTGCTGAGCAGACCAGATCAGATCACATGGTTACTATGCTAAGGCAAACTCGTGCACCTCAGTGCACTTCCTCTATCAAATTGTCAATGCGATCATGCTTGTCGGCTGCTGCTGCTGACGACTCGATTCCCCCAAGGGTGTTGGCTGCCTTGCTTAGCTGCCGTCGTACTAATCTCTCGTACACTCCATTCGCTGGAAGGAAGCGACAACAGACACACCAGAAGAGAAATGTAGGTAGGATAGGAAGCATGAAATTGTGTTACTGTGGCCCCCCAACGGCCTCGTGTGGAAAAGAGACAATCCGCCAGTTATGAGCAGTTTCTTGCATAAAGCCAGCAGCTACCCGTGCATGTGGGCTTACCTTCACCCTGCACTTACCATCACCTATTGCACGCACTCACTTGCTGTACACACACTCGACAAGAAACAACAACTCGTCCCTTCCCTCTACCACCCATCGACACTCACGAATTTCCAGCAGCTGCTCATGCGTGCCATGCTCAGCGACCCGCCCCCCTTCCAGCACGCAGATGCTGTCAGCATTGCGCACGGTGGACAGCCGGTGAGCCACGAGCACGATGGTGCGCCCGCCCTCCGCGATCAGCCGGTCCAGCGCGCCCTGCACCAGCGCCTCACTCTCCGCGTCCAACGCTGACGTGGCTTCGTCCAATAGGAGCACGCGCGGGCGGCGCAGCAGCATCCGGGCAATGGCTATGCGCTGTAGATCAGGGATGAGCAATAAAAGAGAAGATTCCATGCCAAACGTTTGTTTGGTTGTTTTTTTTTTTTCTTTTTTTTTCCAACATTTTTTCTTATGGTATTACTAGTTAGTTGTATAAGGCTCACTGAGCTAACCTCATCAGACTTTGAAGGTCCAGGTCTTGTCTCACCTGACCTCTGTTGGTCTCAGCTCTCCTCTCTTGGCCTCACCTGCCTCTGACCGCCTGAGAGTCGCACTCCCCTCTCTCCCACGCGTGTAGCGTAACCCTCGGGGAACTTGGTGATGAAATCGTGTGCGTTGGCGTGCCTGCAAGGAAGAGATGCGAGAAAAACACGCAGGAAATCAATTCAGCAACAAGCACTCCCACAAGCCCGGCGCATGGCATAACCCGCGGGGAACTGGGTGATGAAATCATGCGCATTGGCGTGCCTGCAAAGAAGAGTTGCAAGGAGAGCAGAGGGCAAAAAGTTACGACAGGGTTTCGGGTTTTCTCCTCGAATTTAACCTCGATGCTGCATGTTCACATCTGAATGTACATATACACATGCGCCTTTTGAGGCGCCTCAACAGTCGCAACATCCCCCAGTGCTGCATCTCCCAATGACACTCACTTGGCAGCTTCTTCAACCTCGGCTCGAGTGTAACACGGCAGCCCATACGCGATATTCTCCTCGATGCTGCATGCCCACATCTGCGTGTCCTGCGCCACCAGCCCCATGTGCTGATGCCCCCACTAGCCCCACATATTTGCATACTACAGATTGCACACACTCTTACTTGGCAGCCTCCTCCACTTCGGCTCGAGTGTAGGAAGGCAAGCCATACGCGATATTCTCCTCGATGCTGCATGCCCACATCTGCGTGTCCTGCGCCACCAGCCCCATGTGCTGATGCCCCCACTAGCCCCACATATTTTCATACTACAGATTGCACACACTCTTACTTGGCAGCCTCCTCCACTTCGGCTCGAGTGTAGGAAGGCAAGCCATACGCGATATTCTCCTCGATGCTGCATGCCCACATCTGCGTGTCCTGCGCCACCAGCCCCATGTGCGCGTGCACCGACCGTAGATTCAGCTCGCGCAGATCTCGGCCGTCCATCACGATGCGGCCTTGGACAGGATCGTAGAAGCGCATGAGCAGATGCACCACGGTTGACTTGCCTCCCCCGCTGCGACCCACCAGGGCGAGCACTTGGCCTGGATCCACGTGGAGGGATACTCCTGAAGGGAATAAGGGACAGGGGACAGAGGAAGACAGGGAAGGAGGGATCGTAGAAGCGTATGAGAAGATACACGACTGTGGACTTGCTCCCACCACTGTGACCCACCATGGCGAGCACTTGCCCTGGATCCACGTGGAAAGACACTCCTGGAGTAGTGGTTTTGAAAATGAGGGAGGGGGGGCAGCACAGCACAAGATAAGGGCAGCACTAGAGTGGGTTCCTACTAGAATGCGGCAGGTAGCGACACTAAAGCTGGACGCTACTATTGTAGGTGCTACTAACACATGGTGGGTAGTGACAGTAAAGCAGGGCGTTACCTAGGAAGGTAGCCAACACACCTTTGAGCACGGGGTGGTCTGGGCGCATCTGGTAGTGGAAGTGAACATCCTCCATGCGGATGGATCCCTGCAGTGTTGACACCTGGTGATTGAGCATAGGAAAAAAAGAGTGAGAAGAGACAAGGGATGGAAGACTGATTGGGTTGTTGCAGGCATCTCATCTGGTAATGGAAGTGCAGGCACTGACACGACACCCTTGCACTGACACGACACCCTTGCACTGACACGACACCCTTGCACTGACACGACACCCTTGCACTGACATGACACCCTTGCACTGACACGACACCCTTGCACTGACACGACACCCTTGCACTGACACGACACCCTTGCACTGACACGACACCCTTGCACTGACACGACACCCTTGCACTGGCACGACACCCTTGCACTGACACGACACCCTTGCACTGACACGACACCCTTGCACTCATAGTCACCCTTGCACTGACACGACACCCTTGCACTCATAGTCACCCTTGCACTGACACGACACCCTTGCACTCATAGTCACCCTTGCACTGACACGACACCCTTGCACTCATAGTCACCCTTGCACTGACACGACACCCTTGCACTCATAGTCACCCTTGCACTGACACGACACCCTTGCACTCATAGTCACCCTTGCACTGACACGACACCCTTGCACTCATAGTCACCCTTGCACTGACACGACACCCTTGCACTCATAGTCACCCTTGCACTGACACGACACCCTTGCACTCATAGTCACCCTTGCACTGACACGACACCCTTGCACTCATAGTCACCCTTGCACTGACACGACACCCTTGCACTCATAGTCACCCTTGCACTGACACGACACCCTTGCACTCATAGTCACCCTTGCACTGACACGACACTCTTGCACTCATAGTCACCCTTGCACTGACACGACACCCTTGCACTCATAGTCACCCTTGCACTGACACGACACCCTTGCACTCATAGTCACCCTTGCACTGACACGACACCCTTGCACTCATAGTCACCCTTGCACTGACACGACACCCTTGCACTCATAGTCACCCTTGCACTGACACGACACCCTTGCACTCATAGTCACCCTTGCACTCATAGTCATCCTTGCACTGACACGACACCCTTGCACTCATAGTCACCCTTGCACTGACACGACACCCTTGCACTCATAGTCACCCTTGCACTGACACGACACCCTTGCACTCATAGTCACCCTTGCACTCATAGTCACCCTTGCACTCATAGTCACCCTTGCACTCATAGTCACCCTCTCCGACACTGACGCCAGGCCAGCATTGCCCTCTGCTTTCTTCTTTCTCTCACACACACCTCCCTACCTTGGTGCCCGCATCAGGGTCAATGTCAGGCAGTGAGTCAGTCGATGAGGGAGAGCACCCTCTGAGCAGCACCAGGGGCCTTGGTGAGGGACATGAGCACCGACATGATGCTCTGATACCCCGACTGGACCCCCACACTCCAAACACCCACTGCTATTCCGATCCCCACACACCTTGGTGCCCTTGTCAGGGTCGATATCTGGCAGAGAGTCGATGAGGGAGAGCACCCTCGGGCAGCGTCAGAGGCCTTGGTGAGCTTTGATGCACCTCAAAACTCGTCTGTATATGCACACACACACACACACAGAACCCTACCTTGGTGCCCGCATCAGGGTCAATATCTGGCAGCGAGTCGATGAGGGAGAGCACTCGCTGAGCGGCGCCAGAGGCCTTGGTGAGGGACATGAGTACAGACATGATGCTCTGATACCCCGACTGGATGAGGTTCCAATAGAGCTGAAAGGCGATGAGCTGGCCCAGGCGCATGTGCCCCTCCATCACCAACACCCCTCCGTACCTGGGGTCGTTGAAATGGGGGAGAGGAATAGAGGGAAGGGGGAAAGGGAGAGCCAGAATGAGGTTCGTGGTACCCCGACTGGATGAGGTTCCAGTAGAGCTGGAAGGCGATGAGCTGGTCCAGGCGCATGTGCCCCTCCATCACCAACACCCCTCCGTACCTGAGAGATACAGAAAATGGGGGACAAGAAAGGTGGAAAGCGGGAGATGGAATGAGGTGCTTGGTACCCAGGGCCCCCAACTGGATGAGGTTCCAGCAGAGCTGGAAGGCGATGAGCTGGTCCAGGCGCATGTGCCCCTCCGTCACCAACACCCCTCCGTACCTGAGAGATACGGAAAATGGGGGACAAGAAGAGGAGGGAGACGGAACGAGATGCTTGGTAGTCCCTGACTGGAACCAATTCCAGTAGAGCTGGATCAGCGGACCCAGCTGCATGTGCCCCTGCATCACCAGCGCACCTCTGTACGCCCAACGTACCCCCAACACACCCACAACACACAAGGCTGCATGAACCCACCAGCGAATCAGAACGACTTTTGAGACGTCTCAAAAGCCCCCAACACACCCCCACCACACAAGGCCGAATGAACGCAACAGAGGATGAGAACGGACGCCCCCAGGTCGAGCCAGCTGTTGATGGAGACGGCGCCGGAATAGGCAAGGGCGTCCCTCACGTACGTCCCACCCACATCCCACCCACATACCCCCAACACACCACAGCAGACCCAACCCACCAGAGGATGAGCACGGACGCCCCGAGGTCGAGCCAGCTGTTGATGGAGACGGCGCCGGAATAGGCAAGGGCGTCCCTCACGTACGTCCCACCCACATCCCACCCACATACCCCCAACACACCACAGCAGACCCAACCCACCAGAGGATGAGCACGGACGCCCCCAGTTCGAGCCAGCTGTTGATGGAGACGGCGCCGGAATAGGCAAGGGCGTCCCTCACGTACGTCCCACCCACATCCCACCCACATACCCCCAACACACCACAGCAGACCCAACCCACCAGAGGATGAGCACGGACGCCCCCAGGTCGAGCCAGCTGTTGATGGAGACGGCGCCGGAATAGGCAAGGGCGTCCCTCACGTACGTCCCACCCACATCCCACCCACATACCCCCAACACACCATAGCAGACCTGTCGGAGTTCTTCCCTTCTCCTTCCTCACTCCTCCCTTGCCCCTGCCTATTCCCTGCCTTCTGTCCTCACCTTCTTCCCTTCCTTCTTATTCTGGCCTTTCCCCACCTTGTGCTGTCCCCACTCCCGTGACCCTGTTCCCTTCTGCGTTCTCAGCCACTACCGAGAAGTTTACTCTCCCACACGATGGCTGCCCACAGTGGCGTAGTCATCTAGCTAGCGTAGCCTTGTTGCGGTAACGTTATCCACTATATGAGGCAAACAAGACGAGAGAACAGGTTTGCTATGCTAGGCTAGGCTATTTGTGCTTGGCTGCCCAGTCGCGAGTAACTCAGCGTGCTGGGTTGAGCTCGAGCCGCCTAGGCCTTGAAGTGGCCCTCGCCAGATTGCCTGTCTCCCGAGGTTCCTGAAATTGTCCCCGAAGCGCCCTGTAACCCCCAGTGCTACCAGTGCTGATGCCCCCACTAGCCCCACATATTTGCATACTACAGATTGCACACACTCTTACTTGGCAGCCTCCTCCACTTCGGCTCGAGTGTAGGAAGGCAAGCCATACGCGATATTCTCCTCGATGCTGCATGCCCACATCTGCGTGTCCTGCGCCACCAGCCCCATGTGCTGATGCCCCCACTAGCCCCACATATTTGCATACTACAGATTGCACACACTCTTACTTGGCAGCGTCCTCCACTTCGGCTCGGGTGTAGGAAGGCAAGCCATACGCGATATTCTCCTCGATGCTGCATGCCCACATCTGCGTGTCCTGCGCCACCAGCCCCATGTGCTGATGCCCCCACTAGCCCCACATATTTGCATACTACAGATTGCACACACTCTTACTTGGCAGCGTCCTCCACTTCGGCTCGGGTGTAGGAAGGCAAGCCATACGCGATATTCTCCTCGATGCTACATGCCCACATCTGCGTGTCCTGCGCCACCAGCCCCATGTGCTGATGCCCCCACTAGCCCCACATATTTTCATACTACAGATTGCACACACTCTTACTTGGCAGCCTCCTCCACTTCGGCTCGAGTGTAGGAAGGCAAGCCATACGCGATATTCTCCTCGATGCTGCATGCCCACATCTGCGTGTCCTGCGCCACCAGCCCCATGTGCGCGTGCACCGACCGTAGATTCAGCTCGCGCAGATCTCGGCCGTCCATCACGATGCGGCCTTGGACAGGATCGTAGAAGCGCATGAGAAGATGCACCACGGTTGACTTGCCTCCCCCATTGCGACCCACAAGGGCGAGCACTTGGCCTGGATCCACGTGGAGGGATACTCCTGAAGGGAAGCAAAAGGGGGGAGAACACAGAACGAGGCACGGGATCGTAGAAGCGCATGAGCAGATGCACCACGGTTGACTTGCCTCCCCCGCTGCGACCCACCAGGGCGAGCACTTGGCCTGGATCCACGTGGAGGGATACTCCTGAAGGGAAGCAAAAGGGGGGACAACACAGAACGAGGCACGGGATCGTAGAAGCGCATGAGCAGATGCACCACGGTTGACTTGCCTCCCCCGCTGCGACCCACCAGGGTGAGCACTTGGCCTGGATCCACGTGGAGGGATACTCCTGAAGGGAATAAGGGACAGGGGACAGAGGAAGACAGGGAGGGAGGGATCGTAGAAGCGTATGAGAAGATGCACGACTGTGGACTTGCTCCCACCACTGTGACCCACCATGGCGAGCACTTGCCCTGGATCCACGTGGAAAGACACTCCTGGAGTAGTGGTTTTGAAAATGAGGGAGGGGGGGCAGCACAGCACAAGATAAGGGCAACACTAGAGTGGGTTCCTACACTGACGCCAGGCCAGCATTGCCCTCTGCTTTCTTCTTTCTCTCACACACACCTCCCTACCTTGGTGCCCGCGTCAGGGTCAATGTCAGGCTGTGAGTCAGTCGATGAGGGAGAGCACCCTCTGAGCAGCACCAAGGGCCTTGGTGAGGGACATGAGCACCGACATGATGCTCTGATACCCCGACTGGACCCCCACACTCCAAACACCCACTGCTATTCCGATCCCCACACACCTTGGTGCCCTTGTCAGGGTTGATATCTGGTAGAGAGTCGATGAGGGAGAGCACCCTCTGGGCAGCGCCAGAGGCCTTGGTGAGCTTTGATGCACCTCAAAACTCGTATGTATATGCACACACACACACACACACACACATAACACACACACACACACACACACACACACACACACACACACACACACACACACACACACACACACACACACACACACACACACACACACACACACACACACACACACACACACACACACACACACACACACACACACACACACACACACACACACACACACACACACACACACACACACACACACACACACACACACACACACACACACACACACACACACACACACACACACACACACACACACACACACACACACACACACACACACACACACACACACACACACACACACACACACACACACACACACACACACACACACACACACACACACACACACACACACACACACACACACACACACACACACACACACACACACACACACACACACACACACACACACACACACACACACACACACACACACACACACACACACACACACACACACACACACACACACACACACACACACACACACACACACACACACACACACACACACACACACACACACACAACAACACACACACACACACACACACACACACACACACACACACACACACACACACACACACACACACACACACACACACACACACAACACACACACACACAACACACACACACACACACACACACACACAACACCACACACACACACACACACACACACACACACACACACACACACCACACACACACACACACACACACACACACACACACACACACACACACACACACACACACACACACACACACACACACACACACACAACACACACACACACACACACACACACACACACACACAACACCCACACACACACACACACACACACACACACACACACACACACACACACACACACACACACCACACACACACACACACACACACACACACACCCACACACACACACACACCCACACACACACACACACACACACACACACACACACACACACACACACACACACACACACACACACACACACACACACACACACACACACACACACACACACACACACACACACACACACACACACACACACACACACACACACACACACACACACACACACACACACACACACACACACACACACACACACACACACACACACACACACACACACACACACACACACACAGAGACACACACACACACACACACACACACACATACACACACACACACACACACACACACACACACACACACACACACACACACACACACACACACACACACACACACACACACACACACACACACACATACAAAACCCTACCTTGGTGCCCGCATCAGGGTCAATATCTGGCAGCGAGTCGATGAGGGAGAGCACTCGCTGAGCGGTGCTAGAGGCCTTGGTGAGGGACATGAGTACAGACATGATGCTCTGATACCCCGACTGGATGAGGTTCCAGTAGAGCTGAAAGGCGATGAGCTGGCCCAGGCGCATGTGCCCCTCCATCACCAACAGTCCTCCGTACCTGGGGTCGTTGAAATGGGGGAGAGGAATAGAGGGAAGGGGGAAAGGTGTCAAACTCTTATGCTATTGTGTGTGTAGGCTGTAGTGGGGTAGAGAATATGGGGTACAAATCTTCTAGGTTTTCCTACTTGTACCCACCTGCTTGCTAGTTCATTCATTCCTCATTTCTTCACATGGTATAGAGCAGGTTCCCTAGTGGGAACGCTTCTCAGGGCCCACCACTGAAATCGATTTTTTTTCCTGACCGGAGCGCAAGTCGCCCCTGCCCGAGGCGCGCCCCGTTGGGCGCCCTCACGTCGCCTCTCACGGCCCCTCGCGCCACCCTTAGCGGCCCCGTCGCCACCCCTTACGGCCCCGTCGCCGTCCTTTGCGGCCCCGTCGCCGCCCCTCTAGGCCCCTCGCGGCCCCTTCGCGGCCCCGTCGCCGCCTCTCTAGGCCCCTCGCGGCCCCTTCGCGGCCCCGTCGCCGCCCCTCTAGGCCCCTCGCGGCCCCTTCGCGGCCCCGTCGCCGCCCCTGGCGGCCCCGTCGCCGCCCTTTGAGGCCCCACGCGGCCCCTCTACGGCCCCGTCGCCCCCCCTGGCGGCCCCGTCGCCGCCCTTCAAGGCCCCTCGCGCCACCCCCTTGCGGCCCCGTCGTCGCTCCTAGCGGCCCCGTCGCCGCCCCTATCGGCCCTATCGCTGCCCCTAGCGGCCTCGTCGCCGCCCCTAGCGGCCCTGTCGCCGCCCTTCGCGGCCCCGTCGCCTCCCCTAGCGGCCGTGTCGCCGCCCTTCACGGCCCCGTCGCCGCCTCTAGCGGCCCCGTTGCCGCCCTTCACGGCCCCTTCAGCTATCGAGCCGCCAAGCCGCCCAGCAGCCGTATCGCCCAGCACCCGCGCCACCCAGCAGCCGAGCCGCCCAGCAGCCGAGCTGCCCAGCAGCCGAGCCGCCCAGCAGCCGAGCCGCCGAGTCGCCGAGCAGCCGAGCCGCCAAGCCGCCGAGCCGCCCAGTAGCCGAGCCGTCGAGTAGCCGAGCCGCCGAGCCGCCGAGCCGCCGAGCCCGCCGTCGAGCCGCCACTGCCACTGCCGAGCCGCTACCACCGCTGTTGCAGCCCTGTTCCTCCCGGCGCGCCCCGGCCCTACCCACCCGGACTGGTGAGAGCCCTCCCTGCTAGACCACTGCTGTCATGGCTACCCCCAGTGTCCTTACCTTTGATGCTGAGGGTTGTGCTGTTGACTTCGATGTCTGGGTCGATGACCTGCAGCTTTTCCTACAGTGCGATAGGGCAGACGGACTCTTCCTGTTCGATCTCACCTCTGGTGCCTCTCCTGCCCCGCCTGCTGATGCTGACAGCACTGTTCGCTCACAGTGGGCCACGCGCGATGCTGCTGCCCGTCTTGCTGTGCGTCGCCACTTACCGACCGCTGAGCGTGCGCACTTTAGTCAGTACAAGAGTGCTAAGACTTTGTACGATGCTGTAGTTGCATGCTACTCTTCCCCTGCCACTGCTGCCCTTAGCCGCCTCATGCTGCCGTACCTGTTTCCTGACCTCGCCGCCTTTCCTACTCTCGCTGACCTTGTTACGCACCTTCGCACTAGTGACACCCGCTACCGCGCTGCGCTTCCTGCTGAGTTCTGCGCCAAGAACCCCCCCCCATATACATCACCCTCTACTACATAGTCACCCGGCTCCCTGACTCCCTTCGCTCAGTCAGGGACCACTTCCTCTCTGTTTGCCCCACCACACTCACCGTTGACCTCCTCGAGGAGCGTCTCCTGGCAGCTGAGAAGAGTATAGTCGCTGTAGGAGCCTCTAGAGGTGACCCGCATGCCCCTGTCTTTGAGGGGTGCTCCCCCTCCCCCCTTTTGCCCTCTGTTGCCTCTGGTGCTGCCGTCGACATCGTTGGCACCGAGTCGGTCGGCGCTGCGTCTGCCCCTAGCGGGCGTCACCGCACCGGCAAGGGCAAGGAGGGCAAGGGCGCTGGAGGGGCTGGCAGGGGCGGTGGAGGTGGAGGTGGAGGAGGCGGAGGGAGTGGGGGTGGTGGTGGGAGTGGTGGCGGGGGTGGGGGCTTCGGTGGCGGCGGTGGTGGCGGAGGCGGCGGCGGCGGTGGCGGTGGGAGCGGAGGAGGAGGCGGTGGCGGCGGTGGCGGAGGTGGCGGCGGAGGAGGTGGAGCTAGTCGGGGTGGCTCTGCCCAGCGGGGCGGCTTAGGTGGTGGTCAGCGCCAGCAGCAGCAGCGCACTCGTGAGACCCCGTCCCCCCAGCAGCTTCGTGAGTGGTACGCTGGGCGTCAGCGAGGTGGGGGTACTGATCCTTCTACCTACGTCCTGCGTACCGGCGACCGCGCTGGTGAGCAGTGCGGGGGCTTGCACTCCACCCAGCGCTGCTTCGGCCGCCTGACGGAGGCTTGGCGTCACCAGTTCCCTGGCGCCTCTGAGATCCCTCGCTGGGGAGAGCTGTCTAGGGCGGGGGTTGCTATCTTTGATCTTGACTATGATGCTATTCTTGCTGCCATGTATGCTGTGTCTACTAGTGATGAGGGTGACTATAACCTGTGTGTTCCGCCTGACCCGGGCATTGAGGCTGCTGCTCTAGGTGCTGGTGAGGCTGCTGCTCTAGGTGCTAGTGCGTCTGCTGCCCCAGGTGCTGGTGAGTCTGCTCTCTCAGGTACCACGTCGGCTCAGGCCTCACACACCTTCACCCTTGACTCGGGTGCTTCCCGCTCCTTCTTTCGAGACCGCACCACGCTTATGCCGCTTAGTCGGCCGGTTGCGGTCTCCCTCGCGGACCCCTCTGGGGGTCCTATCCTTGCTAGCTTCTCCACTGTCTTACCGTGCCCGGCAGCCCCCTCTGGCACCCTTTCAGGTCTCTACCTCCCCTCGTTCTCTACGAACTTGGTGAGTGGTGCTGATCTACAGGATCGGGGGGTTGACTAGTTCACTCCTGCGAGTCAGCGGGTGACCCACTATACGTGTGCTCGGACGGGCCGACACTTGGCCACGTTCACCCGTCGACCGGGGTCGAGCCTGTACACACTGACTACTGAGTCTCCTCCGGTTGCTGAGTCTGGTCAGGTAGCTGCATCGAGTCAGGTGTTTGCTGCAGCGTCCACGTCTGGTCCTGAGTCTGCTCCCTGCTCGTGTCGTCTCCTGTCCCACTAGACTCTTCTTTGGCACCAACGCCTTGGTCACCCCTCCCTGCCTCGTCTCCGAGGCATGGCATCCCGTGTCCTTGTCTCTCGTCTCCCCCGGTCCCTCCCTCCCCTCCCTCCGGGGCCTGCCCCTACCTGTGTTCCCTACGTCAAGGGGCGGCAGCGCGCGGCCCCTCACTCCTCCGAGTTTCCTCCGACAGAGGCTCCCCTGCAGACTCTTCACATGGACGTGTGGGGCCCCGCCCGCGTCCGTGGCCAGGGTCACGAGCGTTACTTCCTGTTGGTGGTTGACGACTACTCGCGTTACACCACGGTGTTCCCCTTCCACAACAAGGGTGACGTCACTGAGGTGTTGATCGACTGGATCCGCGCAGCTCGTCTCCAGCTCATAGAGAGTTTCGGCTCGGACTTTCCTGTTCTGCGTCTGCACTCTGACAGAGGCGTGGAGTTTTCCTCTGCCCGTCTGGGAGCCTTCTGTCGTGCACAGGGCATCCGCCAGACCTTCACGCTTCCGACCTCTCCACAGCAAAATGGGATTGCTGAGCGCCGCATTGGCATGGTCATGGACGTCGCTCGTACGTCCATGATCCATGCGGCTGCTCCCCATTTTCTGTGGCCGTTTGCGGTTCAGTACGCAGCGCATCAGCTCAACCTTTAGCCCCGGGTCTCCTTGCCAGAGACCTCCCCCACCTTGCGGTGGATGGGGAAGGTTGGCGATGCGTCTGCGTTTCGGGTCTGGGGATCTCGGGCGTTTGTCCGCGACTTGTCTGCGGACAAGCTGTCCCCCCGTGCTGTTCCCTGCGTCTTCCTTGGCTTCCCCCCTGACGCGCCTGGTTGGCAGTTTTACCACCCCACCTCGCGCCGTGTTCTGTCCTCCCAGGACGTCACGTTTGACGAGTCGGTTCTTTACTACCGTCTCTTCCCCTACCGCACTGCACCCCTCCCCCCACCGCCGCTCTTCCTTGCGCCAGGTCCTCCTCCGGTAGACCCTCTCCCCCCTCAGGGTCCTGCCCCGTCAGGTGTGTCCCAGGTAGACGCACTCGAGCCTGTCGAGGTAGCTGTTGACTCTGGTGCTGCCAGGGGCGCTGAGCCTGCGGGTGCCGGGTCTGGGGGTGCTGAGCCTGGGGGTGCGGAGCCTGGGGGTGCGGAGCCTGGGGATGCGGAGCCTGGGGGTGCTGGGTCTGCTCGTGTGGCCTCTGGCGGTGCTTCGTCGAGGCGGGAGCTACTCTCTCCGCAGGAGCTGCGCAAGTGGTTTGCTCGGCGCTGGAGCCGTGCTGCTGGAGCTGGAGGTACTAATGTTGCTGCTGGTCTTGGAGGTGCTCGTATTGAAGGTACTAAAGCTGCTGGGACTGGGGGTGCTGCTGGGGCTGCTGGAGTTAGTCCTGCTGGAGGTAGTGCTGGAGCTGCTGGCGGTACAGGAGCTGACGGTCCTGCTGGAGTTGGAGCTGCTGGAGCTGGAGCTGCTGGAGGTGTTGGCGCTGGTGGTTCTGCTGGCACTGGTGCTTCTGAGGGTGCTTGAGTTGGCGCTGTTGGAGCTGGAGGTGCTGCTGGCGCTGGTGCTGCCGCTGGGGGTACTGGTGCTGTCCCTGCTGGTTCTGGAGTCGCTGCGCGGCCGAGGCCGTACTTCCTTCCGCTCCTTGAGCAAGTTCTTGGTCTCCCGCCCTCTACTGGTTCAGCTTCTCCCTTAGCGTGTCCACAGCCTGTCTAGTCGCGGTCACAGTTACAGCCCGCCTCCCCCCTACCTGCTCCTTCTTCCTACACTGGTCCTACTGGAGGTCTTGCTGAGTGTCGTGAGCCTAAGTCTCGTCCTGCGTCGCCTGTTCGTGCTGCTCGCACTAGTGGTCGT